AAATTCCCACTTTTCTACTTAATACTTACAGCCATTAACTATTTGATAACAGTCATTACATTATCCAAACTACTAGATGCCGCAATATTACTTCGGATTAATTGCGACGGCACGTAAAAGTGTTCGGAAGGTTACATTTAATGTATAGGTTTAGTATCACTTAGTATTTAGTAAACATATACACACATACACGTATATACGTATACGTATATATGTACGGAGGTCGGTGTAATAGTCCTAAATCAAAAATTTACGCCGTTTTAAAGATTCTTGTAAGAAATATATTATGTGCTTTAGAAGGATGCAACTTTACCGTGTTGAGGTTGTTATGCCGACGTGTGTGAACCGTTCGAATATAAAAATCAGAAGCAACTTTACCTTTGTAAGAAACCAAGACATTGCAAGGGGAGAAAATATCACAAGAAATGGACATCGGAAGAAAAGCGAGGGAACAATGAAACGTTTCGTCCAATGAATCGAAGCATTCATCGGGATCACGATTGGCATGCATGTCAACAGCGGGGGAAGGCATCAAATAAGGTTGGAAATGATTCGATGTGTCGAAAAATGAAACTCGCGCGGGAGAAAGGAGGAAGTTTTCTGCGATCTTATCTAGCGTACCGCCGATAGTTCGTGAATGTGGCTGATGATGAAACGGCTGTTAACTTCGAAATTTATGAGGCTACGCCTCATTTTCGTTCGCCGCATTTTTCCATACGCTCGCGGTATTTATGCCTGTCGAATATATTCCTTCGATAATTAATCACGTGACCAATTAGTGCTTAATGATTTTTTTTTCCCCATCTCCTCGGGAATTCACCCGTGTCGATGAACTCGTCGCGGGTGCCTCGAAATGTTAGATTTGGAAATAAAAATTTCAGCTGTTTTTGCGACGACGAAATGTCCTCTTTGTCACAAGCGGGTCGCACGGTTGAACGGATGCTGCTGACGTAGAAACGGAGAGAAACGCTAATAAATAGAAACAAGCGTGCGCCAGCGAGCGTGTGTGCGAGTAAATAAATACGTTTCTCAGGAATGCCGATTACGGGCTCCTCGAAATAACTGATTCGCTTCTCGGTACGCAAAGTGCACACGCACGCAGGCCTCATTTGGCATAAAGTCTCATCTCCATCACCTGTTCCGCGCGGCGTTTATACGCCGCGTAAGAACGTCACGTTCCAGTGTAAATAGTGGCTCCGTTGATATTAGACCAACACACGAGGAACCGGTCGGCCGAGCCGGAAACTCTCGGTTCGTCAATGCGCACACGTGCGTGCGTACGTGCGTGCGTGCGTGAGCTCGATGATGTGGTAGTCGCTGGTTCTGTTGTTGAGCCACGCTCAACCTGCTACACCTGGCCGCAGTGCCATGAGAAAGCCGCGAATTACGCGCGATTTGTGTGTCACTTGACTTCCCCTCGAGATTTTTTTTCCCGATTCGCCCCGGCATTGGGCTAGTTTCTCGTAACGACCGTGCACGCTAAACATATAATACCGGCTCCTTTAAATATATGCCAATTACAGGAACCGGTGATTTCTCAAACGGCCTCATGAATTTTCATGAATCTCTTATTCGCTTTAACTTATTCGCACGCATGTTTCTTTCATTGCGCCAATAGCCGATAGTGATTGTTGTCTCTTTCTCTCTCGGAATCGACGAGGCGATTTATTCGTCGAAGTTTAACAACGCGACGCAGCAGCAGCAGCGTGCTCGAACCTGACGAATCGAAATCGGTTGGAATAATCCCAATTTAGCGCTGCTCCTCCGCTTAAAAACGGGAGAACGGTGTCCGCCGAGGAGGCGCGCGCCTCCGAGATGCACGGTAATGCCGCGAGCCTGCGCAACCTGGCGCGGCACAGCAGAAGCAAGTGCAGTTATGTTGCACTGACCGCTAGGATGCTCCGGCCGGACCAGCGAGCCGGGCGACTTGTTGCCATGCAACGTGACGTTTGTTGGGAAATAAAAAAAAAAAAAGAAAGATGGAAGGGGAAAAAGGAGAAAAAGCGCGGAAGGTGCGCATCGCGAAGCGAAGCGGAAGCACATGCGGAGATGTAGAATCCCATCATTAATGTCGGCCCGCGATTTGTCGTCCGAGGATCGTGGAGACGTGGAAAAACACGTGGAAAAAAGATTCACAGGCCAGCTCGTCCAGCTCCTCGCTGCAAGAAGTGGAGCAAGAAATCGTTGCCTCTCTCGGTACAAGGTAATAGATACGATCGAAGGATCGTCGCACGTCTGTTATGTGCGAAGACATAAATAATCGATGGAGGGGAACGCAGCCAAAACCGACATATCGTTTTGTTTCTCGGCTCTAAAACCTTGCTGACGGTGTAAAATTAAAATTTATGCGCGTGGATGCAAGCCAGAAGCTCTTCTCTACTGAAATATACGATAGTCATGAAAATTATTGCCTCTATTTCCTTGCGAATTAATATTTCTTTTATGTTTGAGGATCGAGGCTTCTAGAACTAGGTTTCTAGAAATCAGTCCCAAAACCGACACACTTATAATATCTATATATCTGTATGAATATAGGCGATATCTATAGGATACCTAAAATGTAAGAAATTATATTATTTTATATAAAGAAATTACAAGATCGCCGATAATTTAGTTTTTGAGAAATGTATAAAATTGATAATAATCAATAACAAATTTAAAATTAAAGTTGAATTAAAAATAATAAATTTAAAATTCATAACAAATTAATAATAAATTTTGAGAAATTTATAAATTTACAAAATTTATAGAAAGCACACAACTTCCGATAACGATTAACGTGTACGACAGTTAATTTGTTTTATGGAAGTGTTGTACTCATCGACCAAAGAAGACGTTGACACGTGACCAGTTGGCCACTCTCTCTTTAGAAGCTGTCTAAATTTACCAAATTTTTACTTTTCATAAAAAAATATTCGTATTTTTTCAAAATACGAGTACAAAGACATCACCAAATCTGATGAAATTTCACCATGACCGACAACTCTCGGGCTCGGGCTTTCCTCGCTCCTCGTCATTATCAGAGGTGAAGCCATCGCAATACGCGACCCCATCCACGGCGTGATTTGGGATTTTATTGTTGGGTCACGCTCGTGAATATATGTAACGCAGACAACGCGCGAAGTAGAAAGTAATAGATCGTGCAAAAGTGTCGCGATTACACGACTGCATTTTCATTCTCACGGCGTGTCGTGGCACGACGCCAATTTGGCGCCACGTCCCGTGTCTTGGTTTTTACGATAACGTCGATGACAGCCACGTTCATCGATACAGCCGGCGTGAAATGCGTAGGAATTCGAATTGCAAAATGCAAGTCGCAAGATGCGACGCAGCCGCGTCGTGCGTACTGCAGATGTCTTGTTTAACTTTAAACGTAACTTTGTCGTGAAGCAAATGGACAAATCACCTGAGTCGATTTGAATTCTCGCATTCCGAAGTATCGATAAAGAAGTAGCGATCGCATTGACTATAGAAAACTAAGAAAAGAGAAGAAAACACCGAAAAAAATATATTAGAATCAAATAAACATAATTACCTATTTTTAGTTTCTTAAATTAAGTAATATTTTTATCAATCTGAATATATTTTAATAGTGCAGTAAATATTTATTTGTAAACAGTAATATCTTTATTTGCAAATGAATTACTAAACATAAGTGTAAAATAGTTCTGAAGTTAAAAGAGTATACGGAAAAAAAAATTAGTATCAGTTCAAGTCTTATATGAAAATAAAACATCTGCTTATATGAAGTAATTCTATATAGTTTCATTAAAAATATGATATTTTTGTCATTCAATGGCAATTTTCATGAATTGAGAAGAAAAAATATAAAACAATATTTTCAAATTAAAAATTATATCACATATAAAATTATATTTCTAAGATCCTTTCTTATCCAATACTTTTCTTCCAATTCGTAAAAATTATTTTAGAATAACAAGAATATGTTATTTTTAGTGAAACTGTAGAATTCCTTCATATAAGAGCAAATTTTATCATTATGTAAGATTATACATTCTTACTTATACACGAGAATGTGAGTCTTGAATTGATACTAATTATTTTTCTATATATTTACTAGAATTATGTAGTACTTTCTTTCCATTGAAGAAACCTGGTAGTTTTCAAATTTCGATTTTTCTGCCCAGTGAATATATTCTAATAGTAAATTCCGATATTCTCAATATTATGCATTTAATGTTTGTCACAATTGTCTCAACACATACAAACAAATGTCTACTTATACGAAGAAAATATCAAATATATTACATATAGTTAATTATATTTCCGCTTCTAGTAAATATTTTTAATAAGGAGTATTGGAGTAACCATTTTACTTGGATCACGTGAACGGGAGAACTTTTCTTCGGTGCGTTTATACATTGTGTGATGAAAACGTTCGCCACGAGAAGCGAAATAAATTGCAAGAGAGCAAATCGCAGCCGCATTTAGTGTCGCCGAATTTCTAACTGTAAATCACCGTAAAGAGTCCCACGGGGGACCAACACGGGGGGAGGGGGGTCAAACAACAGTGTCATATGCACTCGTTGAAGCGCGCGACTGCGTGTTCGGCAGCGCGTTAGCGGGAACATCATCATCCGATGAAAATTCATGCGGGACCGCGCGACCGCCCGGAGACGATGCCCCCGTAATTTTCGTGGGGGTCATTATCACCGGGCGCACTCGCGCCCGAGGAAAGATTCTGAGCGCAGCGTTCAGTACAGTTATAACTCCGGTGCGAGGCTGACGTCTCTTCTGCTCCTCTCGCGGGAGCTCGCTCGCGATGAGCCGCCGTACCTTTCGCTGAATGGACACACATCGCGGTCGTTCGTCCCGGCGGAGGTTTCGCACTTGCGATTCGGACTTGCGAAAAGCAGAAATAAAGGGGAAAAAGGAATAGAAAAGAGAAAGAAAGATCACGGAAAGACCGATCGCTCGTCGACCGTTATTCATTAAAGAGCCGCTTTATTCGACGGTAACAACCGTTCGGCGAACGTCGGCGCTCGAATTGAGATACAATTACGTTCGATTAACGATCGATCGACATACGTGAAGTTGCGCGCGTCGAGTACACGCAGATCGATACACGGTGTTCGCTCCGAAGGGATTTATTTCTCGCGTCGCGGTTCGAATCGTACTCAATATCCGCTCGGTTTGTGTTTGGGTATGACAGATCGCCGGTGGTGCTCGAGGATCGATCGCGCCGCGAGCATGGGGCAGGACAAGGAGCAGTGATCCCGTTTCGGCGTACAGTGTCGAGGGCGAGGGGGATTAAGAGTGCGGCGGCCGGTGGAATCGTTATGAGCTCGTGAAAGGACGCAAAGGACGAACGAAGAGAAGATGTTGTGCCTGAAGAAACGGAGGACCTACAGTTTCACGCAGGGGGCCTGCGCGGCGCTCCCGAGGCGATCGAAGAAGGATAATAATAATCGCTATGAGGGGTCCTTGAACATGGCGATTACGACACTGCCGCGCAAGAACAGGTGAGTCACCTCTCGTGTCTGATTATAAACGTACAGGTGTCCACCTAATATAATCTCTTCGGGCCCGGGCAGTTGTTGTACGAGCCGCTTCTCCGCCGGCAAAAAAACGCCTCGCTTAATCCGACGTGAATTATTTTCGCACCTCCGTCCGAACGTGCACGGTTTTGTGGAGCAAGCGGATGTCGTCGCCGCGTGTGATTTCTGGCCGCGGGACTGACACACGAGCTCGGCCGAAGATGCCGAAATTTGCCATAATCTCACCGTAGAGGAAGACCTTTTCAAATTAGAGTTGACTAAATTAAATTTTCCACCACTCGAGGGATTCTTTCGCAAAATAAGTGCAGTAAACACAGTTCGTTTTCGTTTACACGACAAAAAGCAGATCCGTCGATACTCGATCTACATTATTTGAACAGCAAGGCGACGGTACTTCCTTTTTACCTGATCCTTGCAAATTGACTTCACAGAAATCGCACGTAACGATATTAATGAGTAGAAAAACGTATGAAGTGTCAAGAGAGACAGTTTTGTTACTATTGCTAAATTCGACTATCGATTTATTTTTAACGAACGTATATAATACACTTGCTCTCGCCACGGGAGGAATTATCGCCTCCATTAGAGGGCTAAGTGAAACTGTCCGCAACCGATATTCACCGCTGCGCGACATTAGAAACCTGAATGGGCGCGATAATAACAAGGCGAGCCAGCGAGTGTCTTATTGGTCGCTCGATATTGATTTACGCGATCGGAAGTAAAAGTGAACGAGTGTATCTCGCCACTAAAACCGCTACCTGCAACGGTAATAATTTCCTACGTAACTACCAGCGAACTGGTCACCGTGAAACGTTTTTCCGAAATTTTCAGTCGATTAAATCAATATAACGCCTCGAGCAATTAAACCGACGAGAGAACCGACCCGAACCAGGAGACGTTCTCTTAGGAGACTTTGAGAGGACATCTTGAGGCCGGGAATGGCCTCTATTCAGAGAGGAACGCGTTACACAACGGTTTTTATGCTCTCACACGAACGAGGAAGTACGTTGCAACGGTGTTGCTGATTAAGACGGCTACGCAGAAGGAAAGTTATATTAACGATAAGACCGTCCGGCGAGAGCCCGATAATCATGATTATTACGAATTTTATGTATCTATTACGCGTTGTAAAAACGGACGTAAACGGCGAAGAATATGCAGATGTAATACTAATGTTCCCGCGACGTGTTATTACGCGTACACGCGCGCGCGTTATTAAGAACTTAATTATTCGCATTTTAGTGCACGCTAACGTGTGGATTTATCGTCGAACGTTAACTGCGGATATTCGAAGCAGGTATCAGGATCGAACGGCGCATCTGAAATTTTATCATACGTTACAACGCAACGCGATCACTCGCTCTCGCGTCTCCGCTGAAAGTTTGAGTCGGAATTTTGTAATAGACTGTTAGGTTACGAAACAACAAATCGTAAGCTACGAAAACCCAAATAATTTTAACATTTAATGGAATTAACGGCCGGTGATGTGTATTTATATGTTCTTCAATTTTTATTTTTCCCGGCGTGGAGACTTTCGCGTAAGATGGGCGGGCGATGGGAAAAGAGAAGAAGGAAAGAGAGATTCGTTACGTTGGGCGCGTATGTACTCTTATTAATAGTTGCGACGCGTTATTACAGTCACTAGACAACGGTATTGTTCCTACGTGTTTGTTGCTCTAATGTATGCACGTGCATGCTGCGTGCGCAGCAGATCCATGCTTTCAGAAGGCGGATTTGAATACGGTCATTAGTTCTCGCTACCGTTAGAGATGGCCGGGGAGACAAGAGGTACTGCGCGAATCATAATTGCAAAATTACGTTGCGTAAAGTTATTAGCCTCCGCTTTTATCCTCAACGGCATCGACAGTCTCAAGGCTGTTCTTACGCTGCTCTTACGAAGGTTGCCCCCGTCGCGCCCACTCGTATCGTCCCTATAAAAAACTCCCGTTGTGTTACGCTTTCCTTCGCTCGAACGCGACAGATCGTTCGGCCACACTGAAAAGAAAAGTGCTACACCGCTCGAATGATATTTACCCGATCTCCATAAGTAAATTCGTTGTCCCGGCATTTCTTGGCAAATATTTATTAGAAGTAGAAATATAATTGATATATATATATATATATACACTGATATTTTCTTCGTATTAAATTCATGATATTGAGAATATTAGAATTTACTTTCAGAAAATATTTACTGGACAAAAAAGTCTAAATTTAAAGTCACTAGATTTCTTCTCAATGGAAAAGAAGTATTATATAATTCTGATGAATACTTCATTAAATTTGGAATTATTTTACACTTATATTCAGTAATTTATTTATTAATTATAGTATTACTGCGTTCAAGTAAGTGTTTACTACGAGATATTAAAATATATTTAAACTGAGAAAAATATTACTTGATTTACGAGGTTGAAAAACAGGTAATTGCGATTACCCGAGTCTTGCATCTTTCTTTGTGCACTCTTGCCTACGCAGGTGCAGGTACAAGGTGCAGGTGTGTTCTCGTAGGAAGAAGATCAGGGAAAAATACCGACGTTTCACATATTTTCTCTCGATTGTAGATTTTGCAATGGACGGAAGATTCTACTGTTCTTGCGAAAATCCACCTTCGGTAATTGAAACATTGTACATTTCTATCAATGCAACGTCCAAACTGCATATCCGAATGTGTCATCTTAGCTGAGGCTTTCCTTACACATTTCTTGTCGTTTAAAACGTTACGTCATTTAACACGTGATTGGACGTGTTAACTTATAATTTAACACGATTAAACGTTTTGAAATGACGTAACCTAAAACGGCAAGAAACACGTGCAAAAAGCCTCGGTCAAATATTTTCAATTTTAGACGTTTATGTTTATAAAAAGTAACACACTTGGATTTGCAGTGCATTTAAACTTAAAAATCGAAACTCTAGGAAACGGTAAGGAAGCCCGAATTGATTTTATCCGTTAATTGGAGGCGGGCAGACCTTCATCGTCGGATCATAACCTATCGATGATCTCTTCTTTTTTTCTTTTTTCTACGACGTAACCTTACTTATTGCGCATTGTATGTTACGTGCTGAGATTATCCTTGATTTGTTACACCTGTGCGTACGGCCTTAATTGACTCTTCCGTTCATCCAGACCATCATCGCGGTGGTCTTTTAATAGGTGCGCAAGAAGGTTACGCGTGAGTCACAGTTAAGACGATGCAATTTCGCCTTATCGGGCCGAGTTTCCTCCTTGATCTCCCGCTCGCGCCGGATTCTCCTATACTGGAACTTCCTTCGGAATCGTGTCAGCGCGCTTAATTACGCGCGAGAGAGCCATCGTATATAGTAGAATTAAGGCGACTCGACTCGCGGCTTCTTAAACGTCTCTCTCTCTCCCTCCCGTCGGTATCGCGACGCGTTCTCCTCTCCGCTGCCAGAACCTTCTTCTTCGCCCGAGGCCACGTTGCATGCATATCATCAAAAGGAACGAGATAATAATGACGTGAGAGGAAGAACGACGTCCATTTTACGCATAATTAGAATTCGGCGTCTCCGCTGTAATCATGCGAAGTAACGTTATTGTGTATTTATCTTTTTTTTCCTTTGCCGCTTGTACGTTCCATCCGCGAGGCGCGTATTAAGAGAAGCGAAGCCTAAATAAACGTCGGGCAACGTCGAGCCTTCGTTTGAAGAAGCATCCGAGTTGAAGCGAACGATGAAGTACGAATCCTCAGGACGGTTCACATTCATCGCTTTTTTTTTTCTCTTGACAATTGGAGGAAAAGCACGAAGACGGTCGGAGTACTATTTTGCTTTTGTGCTGTAAACTCTGTTGGCAGGTGAAAAATCGAGAAATTTATGTGCAAAACGATATTACTCTACCAAATATATATATTAGTTTCCATCCGGAATGAGCGCGTCGAAAGACTCGTCGTGGTTCTTCGAAGCGTCGCGCGCGCACATCGGCGACAACGGCGATCGCGTAATTATAATTATAATCCGCGCTCGTTTATTAGACACATTCGTTTGGGCCGCGAGGCGCGCAGGAAGGCGAACGTGGGCATTAGAACGTCCGAACGCTCGACGGTCCGATGCGTGCGCGCGATTTCCACGGCGAGATAATACGTCCTTCTTCTTTAGGTCGTTATCCTTCGAGCTCGCGCGCGCATACGAGACGTGCTCGCGAGTCCTCGCCAATTAACTATTGTTAACTCGGGGCGAGAGAAAGATAGAGAGAGAGGGAGAGAAAGAGAGTGAGAGAGAGAGAGACGCAGGAAAGCCCGTGACGGTGGTCCCGAAAGCCAGGACCCTCTTACAATCCACGTTTCTCCCTAATGGGAAACGTCTGCCTGCTCGTTCGCAGCGAGCAGAGCGGAGCGGAGGAACGAGAGCGGACGAGCGGCCGAAGATTAATGCGCGATTGTCCAGCAGGCAAACTAATTCCCCGCTCTTCTCCNCCAGCAGGCAAACTAATTCCCCGCTCTTCCCCCCCCCCCCCTCCCCGAGGTGTACGTCGGCCGTGGATTAACGTCCACCGACGAAACCGCTACTCCCCGTCGTCGATTTCCGCGCCTAGTCCCGTGTTTCGTTCTGCTCCGCTGAAGAGCGTCCCGTTCCCGCGAAATCGTCCGAATCGATCACGTGAACGACATACTGCGATTTAAACGCGTCTTTTCCCGCGCGCGCATTCCTTGGGAATCCATAGATCCTCTCGATAGCCGCCCGACCGTGCCGCGTTAATCTCAAATCCGCGCTGTCTAATAAGAGCGCGACCGACATAACTTTTAAATTGTTTATTATTAAAAGAGGAAAAAAGTCACATATGTACTATACAATCAGTACTACATCGCTTTTGTGTTAACAATAAGTTACGCAATCACCGCCGTTGTCAATTATTGCCTGATTTTCCAGGCATACTTTTCGCAAAAATTCGTCTTAAATCAGGAATAGATATTTTCATATATAAGCAAGAAGATGAATGTGTT